GCGTGTTGGTTAAGGGCACTGAACTACCATATGGCTGACCATGGTTTGAGTCCTAGACCTGGTGGCTTGCTTTCTCACTCTCCCTATCTCTCACTCCATCCCTCTCTGGTCAAATTAAAATAAATTCATAAATAAAGTGAAATGAAATCACTCTTTAAAATAAATAAATACATTTTTACATGTTAAATAATTATTTATTTTATTTATTATTTTTAAATTTGATGAGAGAGAGAGAGAGAAAGTGAAAAAGCAAGCTGCCAGGCCCAGGACTGGAACCGCGGTCAGCCATAGGGGAGTGCAGCGCCTTCACCACCACACCCCCTGCTGGCCCCAGGACTAGGCTTTCTGCTTAGAACCCCAGGGACTCACACACACCTTCCTCCTTCGGAGCCTGTGGTCGGCTAGCCCCAGAGCCACGCCGCAGCGCGCCCCCCCAGAAAAGGGAAAATGAACGGTTCGCGGCAACTACCAGGACAGGAGCTTTATCTGTTGTTTCTCTTGGGTTTTGGCCATGGTGTGTGTGCGCTCACAGGAGAGAGACAGAGAGACGGAAAGAGAGAGGTCGCCCCCGGGAAATGACCACGCTGCCATCCCTTCTCCATTCTCCTCCAGGGAGATCGGGCACGCACCCACACGGGCGTCACGCGCTTTTCTTTTTATCGATCGATTTATTTTCTAAGAATTCTTTATGTCATTTAATGTGTTATTATTATTTTAAAGAACTGTCTATCTGTGGCCAGCAGGTGGAGAGACGGTGAAGGGGGCTGGACGCCCACACGGCTGAGCACGTTTCACATTCCCGACCTGGCCGCTCGCTTTCTCGCGTTCTGTTCTCACTCAGGCCCTCTCCGGTCAAATTTAAAAATAAACAAAGTTGAGTACAATCATTCTTTTTTAAAATGTATTTATTTTTTATCATTATTTTTCTATTTTGACCAGGGAGAAACAGAAAGAGAGTGAGCCAGCCGCCGGGTCTGAGACATGAACCACAGTTAGCTGAGTGGGGGTTCAGCGCCTGAAACCACCACACCACCTGCCGGCCCTACCCTCGCATGGTTGTCAAGCCACCAGGTCTGGGACTCGAACCACGGCTGGTCACATGGGAATCCAGAACCGTACCCACTACGCCACCTCCCGGCACCAGAAGAATTACTGGGAAGTAGTTACAATTATCACAAGAATCAATTAGGCAAGTCATTTAAAAAATAATGGATTCTTTATGACTGTAAGAGTTATGCATGCTTCCTTTTGAAACTTTATAAAACACATATACACACACAAAGGCAAACTAAGAAACTAAAAAACCTGGGTATTCTGTGGCCGGCAGGTGGCGTGGTGGAGTAGGTGCTGAACTCTCACCTGGCCAATCACTGTTCGAGTCCCCCAATTTCCCTCGCTCGCTCTCTCACTCTGTCTCTCTCTGGACAAATTAAAATCACTAAATAAAGTTAAATAAAATAATTCCTTTTTAAAAAAAAAAAAAAAAAGCTTGTGAAAAAATGAAAATAAAGCGTACTTTTCACTTTGGTGCAAAAAGAAGTTTCCATCCATGCCTGGTGTTGTCAGAACACAGACTCCTGTGGGCTTCCTGGAGACCCCTTGAGTTCTTTCAAACGCTCTTTGAGGGCAGTGAGGATTTCCTTATAGAGCCGGCCCCATACCACGGTGGTTAAGGCACTGCATGGGAGCTGGACGTCACATGGCCGGCTGCGGTTCGAATGCTGCCTCCGGGGGCTTGAAACCCACACCAGGCCCATGGGCACGTGCGTCCCAACTCCTCATGGACAAATGGAGGAGAAAGCATCGTGGCTTGATCTCGCCTTCTGAGGGGTCTCTTCTCTCCCTCACTGTCTCTCTCTCCCTCTCAGAGCACAGATGCCGTCTGAAGTTTTAAAAAAAAATGGTATATGAATATTCCTTAATGCATTTGACTCTTCTCCTCTAGTAGAACATGCAGGTCACTGTTAATGTTTTCTATTTGTTCTCTTTCTTTCTTTCTTTCTTTTGAGAGAGATTTTTGCTATACGGCTTGTGTGCTCGCTGGAGAGAGAGAGACAGAGAGAGACAGAGAGAGACAGAGAGACAGAAAGCGAGAAATCACCCCCCAGGGGGGATGGCCACGCTGCAATCCCTTTTCCTCCATTCTCCTCTCGGGATCATGGGCATGCACGCACACGCATCCGGCGTGAGTTTAAGTCACCGGGTCCGGGACGTGAACCACAGTTGGCTACATGGGGGTCCAGAGACATAACCATTTACACCAACTGCTAGTCCCTGCATTTGCTTTAGGTAATGTTTCTATGAATATCTAAGGGTATAATGTCTCATCCACATTTTGCGTTATTTACACAAAAATTATGTAGAAATGGTGAAAAGATTGCAACATAGCCGTGTCCCATTTTGAGTGTTTTCTCTCTCTTACTCTCCCTTTCTCTGTCTTTCTGTCTGTCCAGCAAGCGCACTCACCCTATTGCAAAAATCTCTCTAAAAAAAGAAAGAAAGAAATAGATGAATGATAGAGAGATGATAGAAATGGATGATAGACAGATGACATAGAAGATAGATATAGATAGATGATAGATAGATAGAGATAGATAGATGATAGATATAGATAGATAGATGATAGATGGAGATAGATAGATGATAGATAGATAGATAGATAGATAGATGATAGATAGATGATAGATAGATGATGGATAGATAGATAGATGATAGACAGATGATAGATAAATAGATAGATGATAGATAGATAGATGATAGATAGATAGATAGATAGATAGATGATAGATAGATGATAGATAGATGATGGATAGATAGATAGATGATAGACAGATGATAGATAAATAGATAGATGATAGATAGAATAGATAGATAGAGATAGATGATAGATAGATGATAGATAGATGATAGATAGATGATAGAGATAGATAGATAGATGATAGATAGATGATAGATAGATAGATAGATGATAGATAGATAGATAGATGATAGATGATAGATAGATGATAGATGATAGATAGATGATAGATAGATGATAGATAGATAGATAGATAGATAGATGATAGATAGATGATAGATGATAGATAGATGATAGATAGATAGATAGATAGATGATAGATAGATGATAGATAGATGATAGATGATAGATAGATAGATAGATAGATAGATAGATAGATAGATAGATGATAGACAGATGATAGATAGATAGATGATAGATGATAGATAGATGATAGATAGATGATAGATAGATGATTGATAGAGAGATGACAATCAGTGTAAATGACTCATGGACAGACAATAGATAAGTATAGCTAATAGATACAGATCGATCCGTGATAGAGATAGATGAAGAGATGGATGCTAGATAGATAGATGATAGGCAGATAGATGATAGATAGATAAAAACAGGTAGGTGACTGACAGACATAGACGGAGAGAGAGAGATACTTGAGATCTCATTGGCTCTGTCTCTCCGCAGAACCCTACCTGACACAGCAGAGAAGACCATGAAGCCACCCTAGGCCAGACAGCCGAGAAGAAATGGTGGGATGGAAGGAAGGTAGAGACAGGCAGAGCAGGCTGTGTAGACCAGCAGACCGCAGACTCGGTGTCCCGGCTGCCCACTCCCAACCCCCTGAGAAGGTGCCCGTGCCTCACCTGCCAGGCGGTGTCGAAGGTGCTCCGATACTGGACCTCATAGAGCAGACCGTTGTAGGACAGGTTGGTGCACACCACCGTGACCGCTTCTTGGTGCCACGAGAACCTCACATCTTCCGGGGAGCTGGGCTTCACTGAGAACAAAGTCCAGACCCGTCAGCTCCTCCAACGAACACCAGCCCTCCTCCATGCCAAAGCATTCTGTCCTACGTGCTTAGACTCACTTTCTTCCACCGTGTCCACGCTTTCTTTCCAGAGAGACGGAGAGAGCGAGAAATCACCCCCCGGGGGGATGGCCATGCCGCACACGCTCTCCTCCGTTCTCCTATTGGGATTTCGGGCATGCACCCACACACGCCCGGTATATTTCCCAAGCCACTGCATCCGGGACTTGATGCAGTGGGACCCAGGGACTTGCACTGTACAGCCACCCATGTGGGATCCAGTTGCCTCAACCGGCATGGCATCTGGCTGGCTCGCCCTTACGACTTCTTCTTTCTTTTATTTTCTTATTTTTTTACATTGAATCACTACCTCTTTACAGCATACAACATGGATTTTCTCAGCATGAATACACTGTATATCCATCCAGCTAAAGAGATGACCATCCACATTACGGTCACCAGATAATTCTCCATCTTCGTGTTTGTTAAATGTTCCCCCCCCCCCGCTTCCCTCCCTCTTCACACTAGCTCCCACCCTCCTCCCACACGGTCTCTGGTACCCACAGTGTCTCTCCATGCCTTTACACCTTCCAGTTTTTCAGTTCCTGCCACAGAGTGCAGACATGCAGAATATATATCTAAATTGGGGACATACGATGCCTCTCTTTCATAGTCTAGCTTGAGCTTGCTTCACTCAGCATTAAATCATCCATATTTGTCCACCTTCCATCAAATGCCAGGGTCTCATTGCTTTATAACTTTCGTTTTTTGGTTTTTGGGGTTTTTTTTAGATTTTGCCATAGGGCACATGCACTCACTAGAGAGAGAGAGAGAGAGAGAGAGAGAAAGAGAGAGAGGGAAAGTGAGAAATCACCCTCAAGGGGGAATGGCCACACCGCAATCCCTTTTCCTCCATTCTCCTGGGATTTGGGGCACACATGCACGTGTCCCCGTGTGATTTACAAGCCACCTGGTCTAGGACTTGAGTCTACAAGCCAAAGAACACCAAAGATTGCCAGAAAATCACCAGGCACGGGAGAAAGTCCTGAAACAGATTCTGAAATCTTCAAGAAGAAACCAACCTTGCCCACTCCTCGGTGTAGGGTTTTTGATTTCTAGAAAGAACTGGGTGAGAACACAGTTTCTGTTGTTTTAAGCCACCCACTTTGGGGTCATCGGTTATGACAGCCTTAGGAAATTCATTCAGGGTCTATGAGTGATTTCATGAATGAAGAGTTGACGGGTCTCAGATTCTAAAACAGATCCACCCCTGTCCCCCACCCCACCAAAAAGACAGAACAGCCTTAGAGAACTCTAGAATTTAAAAACAGATATTTTGGAGATGGGATCTGACTACATTTCTGTGTCATTTTCTTACCCAAGATGGACAGCCAGCCCTCAACACGGTCAAGAAAACACCACGGGAGGGACCGGCAGAGGCGTGGTGGTTAACGGTGCTGGACTCCCACATGGCTGACGACAGGTTGAGTTCCGGACCTGGCAGCTGGCTTTCTTGCTTCTCCTCTCTCTTTCGCTTTCTCTGATCAAACTAAGGTAATAATAATAATAATAACTAAATAAAGTTAAATAAAAATTTTTTTTTTTAAAAAAAGCACGCACCATAGGATGTGGGAGAAGACAAGAGGGTGTGTTTCTCTTGACCCAATAGGTGGCTGGAGACTAGGGGACTGGAGCTTACATGGCCAGCTCTGGGGTTCAAGTCCCAGATCCGGTGGCTTGACAATCATGCTGGGTGTCTATGTGTCTGTGTCCAAAATCCCAAGAAGAGAAGGAACAGTAGCACGGCCATCCCCCATAGACTGGGATTGCTCTCTCTGCCTCTGACAAGTAAAGTTTCTTATAGCAAAAACTTAAAAAAGAGTGTGTCGCAGGACCAGCGGTAGCCATAATGGCTATGTCACTGGACTTCCATGTAGTCCACAGCAGTTCGAATCCTGGACCCGGTGGCTTAAATTGACTCCGTGTGTGTGTGTGTGTGTGCGCGTGCCCAAGATCCTGAGAGGAGAATGGAGGAGAAAGGATTGCAGCGTGGCCATCCCTCCTGGGGGGTGATTTCTCACCTTCTGTCTCTCTGTCTCTCTGTCTTTCCGGCAAGCACACGTACCCTATAGCAAAAAACTCTCCAAAAAAAAAGGAAAAAAGAGTGTGTTGCAGATAGCATAATGCTTATGTAACTGAGCACAGTTTGAGTCCCAGACCCGCTGGCTTAAAACTCACTCAGGCGCGTGTGCGTGCGTGCCCCAAATCCCGAGGAGAACAGAGGAGAAGAGATTGCAGTGTGTCCATCCCCCCGGGGGGTGAGTTCTCAGTTTCTGTCTCTGTCTCTCTGTCTCCAGTGAACACACACGCCCTATAGCAAAGTTCTCTCTCTAAGAAAAACACAAAGGGCGTGTCATTCCTCTCTCCCCCTGTGCGGGAGGACCTCGGTATTGTCTCTGGTGCCTTCTCTCAAATCGGGGCCTCCCCGGGGGCATCTGATCTCCCCCACGCACGGCAGACACCTCCCTTTCTGGCCTGTGTGGAGACGGAGCTTCTCACGAGCCAGGCGGTGCTACAGTGCCGACATGACTGGACCCACATGGACTTCACGGCTGGCTGTGGATTGCAGTGCGGAGACCCTATTGGGGTACCTCTCTCTGTCTCTCTTCCTATCTGTGTCATAGAAGAAATTAGCCAGCTTGAGGCCAGCAGGTGGCATGGTGGCTAAGGCACTGGACTCTCTCCTGACTGACCACAGTACGAGTCCCACACCAGGAGGCTTGCTTTCTTACTTTCTCTCTCTCTCTCTCTCTCTCTCTCTCTCTCTCTCTCGGGAGCACACATCTCTCATAGCAAATTAAAATAACAATAATAATAAAGAAAATTAAATACATAATTCTTTAAAAATATGAGTAAGCTTAAGAAAAAAAATGGTCATTTTTTTTAAGAGAGAGATTTTTTTTCTTGTAGGGTGTGAGTGCTAACCAGAGAGACAGAAAGAGACAGAGAGACAGAAAAGGAGAAATCACCCCCGGGGAGGGGGGACAGCTACACCTCCTCCATTCTCCTCTCGGGATTTTGAGCGTGCACACACCTGTGCCCTGTGTGTTCTGCAAGACTCTGGGTCTGGGACTTGAACTGTGGTCAACCGTGTGGGAGTCCAGCACCTTCACCGCCACCCACCTCCTGGCCCCACGATGAAACTTGCTCTAAGAACGGTCTCTTGGAAAGGTCCAGAAGGGGATGCCGAGCCCCAGCGACGGCGGACAGGAGCGTGCTCCCGGACTTACGGTACTCGCTGACCCACTGGTCCATGGTGAGAACGGGACGGCTTCCGTCTCTGATAGAGAAATACAGAATGGCGTCCTTGGCCCCGAGCAGGCACCCTGTGGCGTGGCCCTGGTCAACAGTGTAGCGGGGACAGGGGCTGTACTCTTCCTCGGGGCTGAATCTGTGTGGTGGAAAGGGGGCGGTCAGCCTGCGGGCTTACCCACGTACGTGCATGCACCGGGTGCGTGTTCTCCGCTAGCGGGGCTGCAGGTTGAACCGTCTGTTCCCTTAACAAGACCGTGGGACCGCTCCTTAAAAGGACCTGTTATTTTATTGTTTTAAAGGATGATTTGCTGGTTTGTTTACGGTCATTCTTTGCATTTGACCAAAGAGAGAGAGAGAGAGGAGAAGTGAGAAAGCAAGGCGCCAGGTCCAGGACTCGAACTGCAGCACCCCACCTGCCACACCACCTGCCAGCCCCTTAGAATACCTTTTAAAATATCAGCTTTAAAAAAGACATATTTCTTTTAACTTTGTTTATTCATATAACCAGAGAGGGACAGAGCGAGAGAGAAGGAAAGTTAGGAAGCAAGCCACCAGGTTTGGAATTCGAACTGTGGTTGGTCAGGTGAGAGTCCAGCGCCCCTTAACCACCATGCTACCCGCTGGCCCCTAAAATACCGTCTCAAGGGGCCAGCAGATGGTGTACTGGTGAAGGCACTGGACTCTCGCCTGGCTGACCACAGTTCAAGTCCTGGACCTGGTGGCTGGAGATTCACACTGGGCATGTGTGCGTGCGTGCCCAAAATCCCAGAAGGAGAATGGAGGAGAAGGGATGGTGGTGTGGCCATTAACCCCGGGGGTGAGTCCTCACTTTCTCTCTGTCTCTGTTTACATGTCTCCCTCTGTGTCTCTCTCCATTGGATATACGGCCTATAGCAAGCGGAATCAAACAACAGCGTAATGACCCGTTAGTAGAGGAGGGGCCGGCAGGCGGCGTGGTGGTTAAAAGCACTGGGTTCCCATATGGCCGACCGTGGTTCACGTCCCGGGCCTGGTAGCTTGCCTTCTCGCTTTCCCTTTCTCTCTGTCTGGTAAAATTAAAAACATTATAATAAGAAAACAGAGGGGCTGGCAGGTGGCATGGTGGTTGTGGGCACTGGACTCCCACGTGGCTGACTGCGGTTCAAGTCCCGGGACCTGGTGGCTTGCTTCCTCTCTCTCTCTCTCTCTTTCTCACGCTATCCCTCTCTGGTTAGAATGAAATAAATGAATGAATAAATAATTAAATACTTTTAAAATAATAATAGTAACAAATGCAATTAAATCAATAAATAATTCTTTTTTTTTTTTGCTATAGGGGATGTGTGCTCACCAGACAGACAGAGAGAGACATAGAGAAAGCGAGAAATCACCCCCCAGGGGGATGGCCATACCGCAATCCCTTCTCCTCCATTCTCCTCTCAGGATCTTGGGCACGCACGCACATGCACCCGGCGTGAGTTTAAACCACCGGGTCTGGGACTCGAACCACGGTCAACTACATGGGAGTCCAGAGACGTAGCCATGACGCCAATTGCTGTTCCCTAAATAAATAATTCTAAAATAAAAAAATAGAGAGCGAGGAGGCGCTGGGGCTGAGGAAACCCAAGTGAACGAGGGGTGCGACCCCCGGACACCCAGCACTCTGTGTCTCTCTCCTGTTCGATTTCCGCGCCTCTCGGCTTTCACACGTGTCACGTCCGCTGTCCCCCACGGTGCCCTTCCCGTTTATCTCCCAGGCTATCAAACTGTCACCAATAACCACGCGTCACACGCCCCGGCATGGAACCCGGGCAGCGTGCCCTGGAAAGCCCCTGCCTCCCACACAGAGCCCTGCCCTGGGGGTGGCAGGCAGAGCAGAGACGCCCGCGGCGGCCGGCCCCACTGGGAAGGAGGCCCCTGGACGCCTAGGGGAAAGTCATGTGGCCTAAACCTCCATCGGGCTGCGGAGGACACGAGACGCCAGGCCACCGCGGGGACAGGCATGATGGCTCCTGCACTGTCACCGGGCCCTGGGCAAATACCCTGGTACAAAATCCAGGTGGTTTTGGGGCCGGCTGGTTAGGGAAGCTGGACCACCGTGGCCGACCATGGTTCAAGTCCTGGACCTGGCAGCTTGCCTTCTCACGTTCTCTCCCTGTCTCTCTGTCTCTCTGTCTCTCTCTCTCACACACACACACACACACACACACACACACTATGTTCTCTCTGATCAAATTCAAATGAATTCATTAATTAATTAAGTTCAGTCGAATAAATCCTTTTTATCCTTTTTTTAAAAAAATGGAAATATATATGGCAAGCATCTAGGCTAAGTATTTTTTTAAGAATTATTTCATTTTATTTTAATTTGACCAGATAGGGATAGAGTGAGAGAGAAAGAGAAATGGAAAGTGAGAAAGCAAGCCACCAGGTATGGGACTCGAACCGTGGTTGCTCATGTGGGAGTCCAGTGCCCTTAACCACCATGCCACCTGCCAGCCAATCAATAAAATAATTCTTTTTTTTAATTCTTTTTTCATTTGGAGAGGTTTTGCTATAGAGTATATGCGCTCACCACAAAGAGAGAGAGAGAGAGTCAGAAAGCAAGAAATCATCCCCCAGGAGGGATGGCCACACCACAATCCCTTCTCCGCCATTCTCCTCTCAGGATCTCTAGCACACACACAAACACACACACACACACACACACACACACGCCCGGCATGAGTTTAAGCCGCCGGGTCCGGGACTCGAACTGCAGTGGACTACATGGGAGTCCAGCGACATAGCCATTAGGCCAACTGCCGGTCCTAGTAGAATAATTCTTTAAAAGCTATCTCGGTGTTTCTGAGTGTGATTTAGCTAGGGTGGGTGACTGGTGGTTGCGGTGAGGACCGAGGGTTGGCTATAACACACAGCCGGGTCTGCACATGGTGGGTGTCCACACCCGTCTCCGACGCTCCAGTGTTGGAAGGAATGCCCGCACAGGGCGTGGGGTTTGCGTCCGAAGGACACTTACTTGTAGAAGAAAGTCAGGTTCGTCCCGGGGTACTGACTTGCATTCCACGTAACCTGCACCGTTTCGAAATTGAAGCAGATCATTTGAACCTGCAGTTCTTCTCCTGGGTGCAAAAGAGACAGAGAGCATATATCTTAAGACAACACCGGGCCAGCAGGTCGTGCGGTGGCGAAGGTGCTGGAATTCTCACGTGGCCGACCACGGTTTGAGTCCCGGACCGGGATGCTTGCTTTCTCACTCTCCCTCTCTCTCTGCCTTTCTCTGGCAAAACTCAAGTCGAAAAATAATAAATAAATACATAAATTTCTTAAAAAGAAAAAAAACAGACAACACTGACAACCAATTTGGAATTTATAAAATGAGGTCAACACTCTTGTCCTAAGAATCCTAAGGTCACCACGCCACCTGCCGGCCCCATGAGTTTAATTTGGTGCAAACATGTCATCTTCTCATTATGGCATTTTCCACGAGCTTTTTCTTTTTTTAAAAAGAATTATTTTATTTTTAACTTCATTTATTTATTCCTTTTCATTTGACCGGAGAGGGACAGAGGGGGAGAAAGAGAGAGAGGGAAAGTGAGAAAGCACACCGCCAGGTCTGGGACTTGAACCGCTGTCGGCCATGTGAAAGTCTAGCACTCTCAACCACCACGGTCCCTCCTATGGTCATTTTTAAAACCCCTTTGTGTAAAGTTGATGACAAAACCCATCTTCCCTGCGAGACGAGCCTGCCGGGGAGTTGCAGCTTTCCTTCGAGGTGTGCAAGGGTGAACCGCCCGTCTCGGGCGTGCGCGGACGGGCCGACGCCGTGCCCCAGGGCGCCATCCTCTGAAAGCACACAGACAGGCACCGGGCACGTCCCTCCTGGTTTTTCAAGCCGCCGGGGCCAGGATTCAAACCATGGCGTCAGCGATACGGGAATCCAGCCGCCTTCAGCACCGGGTCAGTAGCTGCCTTTAGTCTTGTGCCTCTTCTTGTCCTTTTCCTTTTATTTTTTACAATTATTTATCATTTTATTTATTACTATCATTATTTAAAACTCTGTGATAGGGCACGGGTGCTCAGCTGACTGAGATAGAGAGACGGGAAGTGAGGAAGCAGGCCACTAGGTCCGGGACTCGAACCGTGGTCGGCCATGTGACGGTCCGGGACTCGAACCGTGGTCGGCCATGTGACAGTCCGGTGCCTTCACCACCACGCCACCACCTTAGTCTTGTTTCTCTAATCTGCTTGACCTCTCCGAGTTCCAACCTGCCTATCCCTTGGCTGAGCCAACAGGAAACTGTTCCGAACTGAGCAGAAAGGGGAACGAGGAGAAATTGGGCTCTTGCACCCAACTCCTCTCCTTCTGTGATTGTGGGCCCAGCCCAGCTCTCAACGCGGGAAGGCCAGGGGCCGGCCCTGCAGCCTCAGGGTTAAGGGAGCTTGATCCCAGCAACATCTGGGATCCGGAACTTGAACCGTGGTTGGAAAAATCTGACCGGCATAGGTGCGTGCGTGGCCGACATCCCAGCGGGACGGAGAGAGGGAGGAGAAGGGATTGGAGCGTGTCCACGCCACGCTCGAGGGAGCTTCCTTCCTCTGTCTCTCATTCTCTCTGTGTCTGGGGAGTACGAGTGCTCTCTGGCGAGTAGAAACAGAACAACGGTAGGAAGGGGCCAGTCGGTGGCCTAGTGGTTACCGTATCGGACTCCCGCATGGCCGGCCATGGTCTGAGTCCCAGACCTGGTGACTTGAAACTCACACGGGGCACATGTGCATGCGTGCCCGAAAACTCCAAAGGGAGAATGGAGAAGGGATTGTGGCCTGGCCAGCCCCCTCGGAAGATGATTTCTCGGTTTCTGTCTCTCTGTCTTACCAGGGAGTGTACCTGCTCTATAGTAAAAAAATAAAAAACTCTCCAAAAAAAGCGCTAACTAAATAAAACGTGAGGGTTCAACTAGATATGAGAAGATGGCTCGAGTTCTCGGGAAGAAACGTCGTCCTGGGGGCCCGAGTGCACGGAACGCTTCTGTTCTGTGTTTGTCATCGCTCGTGACGTCGCTGACCACAACGCAGATGCCGCTGAGCTCGCGTCTGACCTTCTGGTGCCAACGGCAGAGATTTCGGGGAGGGCCTCCCCGAGTCAGGGAAGCCCTGACCTTCAGAGGAGGAACTGGCGTGCACCCCTGAGGGCCACCACCTCCAGGTCCTGGAAGAGGAGGGACGTTTCCAGGGAGCAAACAGCGTCTGCTCTCTGCACCGCAGTGGGAACGCCTCCATTGATAAAGCCCTTGTTTTCCACCACGGAGGGAAGTGTTCTTGTGGTCAGGTGCCCTGCCCACCACCGTGACTCACCGGCGGGCAAAGGAGGCTCAGGCTGTGAAAAAGAGAAGTGAGAAGAAGCCCACGGGTCCCGCCGTGCCCTTGCTGGCTGTGCGAGGGGGGCACGGCTGCCGATGGGCACGGCTGCTGAGCCGCCGACAGCCGAAGGGGGTGGCCCCGGTGAGCACTGTCACCGTGGCCTTCGGGCTTGGCATGGAATGTGGCGAGAGTGCTCCGAGAAGGAGGATGACAGGGGAGGATTGGACAGCTGCCAACAGGCCTGTCAAACTGTTCTAGAAAACATGTCTACGTAGCAGGGTCTTGATTTTTGTTGTTAAATCGCTTAAGGTTTCAGCAGCTCACTTTCCATTTTTGTACCCATTAAATATTTTGTCTGGGGGCTGGCCGGTGGTGTGGTGGTTAAAGCGTTGGAGTCTCACATGGTCAACCGTAGTTCGAGTCCCGGATCTGGTGGCTTGCCTTCTCACTTTCACTTTCTCCCTTTCTCTGTCTCTCTCTGATCAAACTGGAAAAAATAATAGTAATAAAGTTAAATAAAATCATTCTTTTTTATTTTGAGAAGTTTTCACTGTAGGGCACGTGCGCTCGCCAGACAGACAGAGAGAGACAGAGAGATAGAAAGCGAGAAATCACCCCCCAGGGGTGATGGCCACACCACAATCCCTTCCCCTCCATTCTCCTCTCGGGATCTTGGGCATGCAT